GGCTACAACAGAGTTACCCGCTGCAAGACTTGAGAAACGAGCAACGTTGTCCCCTCCCCCCACCTATCCCGAAGGAAAACCCGCTCCCAACGGCCCAACGGGACGCGATCCTCGTTTTCGTGAGAGCCGGGGTTCCCCTGGCTCAGCCATGCCAGAAAGCTGACCAGGGCTCTCTGAGTGACGCAGTAAATGTAACCTATCTGCGGACAATGAACGCCCTGCTTAAAATATCCTCTGGAGACGATCAAAGATGACCCTGGTCTATATTAACGCTATCTTAAATTTTTAATTTTTTTTTTGAAAAAAAAGATCGGCTTCTTCGGAGACGACGCCACGAACTGCCTGCCCAAAGACAGCTCCTCTTACGCGTCCTGCGCAACCGGAAAGCCGTTGACATAAACCCGCCAACACCGGGTGTTGGGCTGCTTTAGTGCAAGGGCCGCTTTCCAGTTCGCAGGAAACTGCAACGGCAAGGCACCGCCTGGGGGGTGGTCTGATGATCGACATCGTCCGCAGTGAGCCGTTGGCAGGTATCCTATACGTATCCGTACATGTTCATGAATACGAGTATGCGGGTATCTTGGCGTGTGTGCACCGCATCCCCGGTCCTCTCAGCGGGACTATCTGCACGACGGTTCTGGATCGGCTGTGTCGCTGGTCGAACATGTCTCTCGGTCATTAAGCTTAGAGATGAGAACGCTGGGCCACGGCTGTTAGCCACCTATCGCCTCCATCACCAACCCCTTGTCCAGAACTAGTGTAGTACATGGTTGGGCGCGACTGATCTGTCACCGCTCACCTCGGCCGGAACACTGCCTAGGTACACCACCATGAGCCCTGCATCGCGGGCCGGTGCTGTCTCCCAATAACCCGACCACGTAATTTGGCATTCAAGTAGATGCGGTAAAGAGTGGCCGATGTCTCAGTTCGACGTCCTTCCGCGGCTGGCCAGGGAAATGGGATAACACGCCCGCGTTCCTTGCCAGTGATGTTTTCCCTTACTGCGTAGCCGTACCCATAAAGCGTTCGCCGCGGCTCCAATATACTCCGAAGGCGCCTGTCCGAACTTTGCTGAGATCGTCATCCGCGCGATTTCATTTGATATTCACCTGTACCTGGCGGCGAATCAACCAACTGCCGACAACCCTACGGATCGATAATAGAAGCAGCTTGCAGCAAGCAAAGCTTACCCGACCTAGGGGTGGCGCACAATACTCTGGTTCCGCTGGACGCAGAGAAAAAAGGGGGGGTCTTCATTGAGGATCAGCAAATTGCACAAGAAAAAACCGTCGCCCGTTCCGTGTGTGGAACCGCCCTACTTAGCCACTGTATGGCCCATGACATCCCCGCTCCTGCTTCCTGACTAGAGGCGGGCGTACTTTGTACTTTACGGCTTATTTAGTACTCCGTAACGGTCGGTGGCTATGCTCTGTGGCCCCGTATGCTGGGTTCGCCGGATCCCTCGAGATTTGATGACGGCGTATCGGCTCATGGAACCTATGGTGATCTGCTTTCCCGCCCTCAAAGACGCTTAGGGGGGGGGCGAACTTGTCCAATGCCATGCAGGTCCTGCTGGGGTAGTACCGGAGACGTTCCACGAGAACGTCGAGCTTGGGACGAAGTGAGTTGATGTCGTCGATTTGAGGTTCCCAAAGCGGTGGTCTAGACCCCTCCCCGACTTCAGGAACGGCGCAAACTCTCCGGGCTGGCGGTACTTTGCCTCGGGTAGGCGAGCGCCGTGCCGGCGCACGCGAGGAACCAAGCCTGGGGCCAACCTCAAACGACGCCTAACCGACTGTCAATCCTATCCTATTGCTGAGCCCACTCTCGTTCAACTGCTGGGGCGTGCTCGAATGAGCGTAAAGGTACCATGGAAGCTTGCCCCCCCGCAACGATGGCCATGCCGCAGCTTGCCCCCGAGTGGGTGTTGATCCGGCTCGTTGCGATCTCGACTCCATTGGTCCCCGTTGGTTGTTGGGGCAGCATCGCTTGACCTCGCTTCGCCGGTATAGCCTGTGCCTTGCCGGCCGATGGTACGGATAAGCTGCGGGTGACCTCTAATCTCCTGGAGCTGCGGCTCCGATCCAATCCGGATCAGGTCTCAAGGGGGCAAGAGCCGCTTGGCCCGTCGACGGACATCTCCCACATCCACTAACGTTGCCAGTACCGAACCGCCGTACATGATCTGCCTGCAGGACTGAGGCCATTTACAGCCCGCGCATCGGTCACGTCATTCGGCCCGGCTTGATCGCCGCACGTCCAACGGCTCGAAGCAGCCAGACCATCACGGTCGAACGCTGCTTCGGGGAGTCCGAGCTGTCCGGTCCTTTCACCCAGCGTGTTGTATCTACACGGTGCCGCTGTGGGCTTGGAAGGGGGGGGACTCGAGTCTCCGATTCGGCCGCTAACGGTACTTCTCCTTGGCCGGATGCAGGTAGCCGGCAGGACGTTGTTTCGGATACTAATACCCTCTCCGATTTATGGTTGCTGTCGCGACGGATAGGGAAGGACGCCCAAACACGTGGCCGGGGTGCTCGACAGGAGGCTACAGGGCTGTGTGTCCATGAGGTGATGTGAGGTCCTTAGCGTTTCTTGCTCGGCTGCCGTTGAGCCACGGGTGCCTGCTTCCGAGCCCAGGCTGAGGTCGTGCAAGGTTGCCAGTAAGTAGACCCGAGGTCAGTTGAGTCTCGATGTTTGTGCGCCGTGATAGCGCCTTATTCACCCTCCAACGGTCTGCGGGGGTCTGGTTGTACTACAAGGCAATTTAAGTCCTAGCATATGGGTCACTCGAGTCATCTCTCTCTGATAAACGAGGCACGTCATCAACTACGGCTTGCTACTTTGTCGGGTTTCTCAGGGGTCAATGGCCAACTAGTCTGCTGTCGTTGGTGCAGGAGATGAGATTCTGGATGTCTTGCGTTTAACGTTTGCCTCGAAAACGTACTGCAACAACGATCTCTTGGGTGGAGTCGAAGATCTCTCGAAGATCGTGTCTCTGGTTTCTTTCCGAGTTGGCATCCCGGCGCTTCCCACCCCAGTACCCTCCCTCTCGGGATATGGCGGACCGCGCCGAGTGGGGGCGGCGACGAGGGGTGTTTAGTAGGCGAGGAAGTTTGAAGGTGTATCAATTGTGCTGTTCGTGTTCGGTGCCTTAGCAATGGCTGGAAGCGTCTCTTTGGACACCAGTATAAGAAAATGGGCGGCAACTCGGTGTCCGACTTGAAACGTCCTCGCTCTTTTATGCGTGTCGTTGGGAGTCCATCTCCGGAAGACTCGTCTCCATATTGCCCATCTCGGAACTAACGAATTTCGTTTGGCTTATCAAGTGAGAAGAGATACTGAAAATTTGTCACGAAAGGAATCTTGGAAAAGAAGTCTGAAGGAGGGGCCGAAGTGAATAGTGACAACAAGTGTGAGGTCGTGGGAGACGCTCATCCGGTCAGGGTCGAAGTGAAGCCCAGGACCAGCAGTCACTTCACAGGTAAGAAAAAAAGAGGGAGTCACCAATGGCCGCCATGGGCTTGTTCCGCTTCATTGTCCATTCCCACAGCAATAATAATACTCGGCGATCAAGCAGCTGGTCCCGGGGAGAAACTTCACGCTGTTACAAACCGAGGCACCGACCACGGTCATTACTGATGTATTCATCTTTGGGCTTTCTCGGTCTACTAGAAGCTTCTTTTCACTGGCCCCAAGCCCGCTCAAATAGATAACTTCAACGACTGGCAGCCTACTTCATGGCATTCAACGCCAGCCGTAGCGCGTCTCTGCCGTATCGTGAACAGCCACTCACTGTCAAGTGAGGGGTTGAATAAGGGGAGATTTTGCATCATGTTTTATAGGCCAGAATGAAGCTGCTGGAGCTCTTTGGGTCAGACACAAGTCGCGATACTGGACCAAATGACTGAAATTGATCAAACAACGAGGAGACATGAAGGTCGCGTGGTTTGAAGCCAGTATGAGGGTGATTTTATGTACCTCTGTTTTTTTCGTCCACGAGAGCTGAGACCCAAGCCAAGTTGAATACTTCTGGGACGAAATGAAGAATAAGTTTCTGGTGACGCCAGGGATATAAGCAGGGATTCAGAAACAAAGTCAAATGACATGGCCTAGTATCCAATATTTATGACCATACTAGAAGCCAACCACTCATTTGACTATGTGGCCCGTATCAAAATGGATGGCTATGTTCCTATGATATAAGATTACTCAGTCTCGTGAATATAGCAGACCAGAATCACAGCCGAACAATGGAGCCAACAACGACAGTGACACAGTACCTCTGACAATCCTTGCGGCTCTGACGGGCAAGGATATGAGGACGCTTCGGTGGCCGTTGGAAGAGAAGGAGGCATTCAGAGTTATCCAGCGAGTCCAGACAAAAGCCCCAACGGAGGCTGACACGTCCTTCCTCAATCAGTCAAGTCACATAATCCTACAGGATACCCGGCCCAAGATATCGAGTGCTAGGAAAATGGCGGATATCGTTTACTTGGTACGGAAGCTGCTACACCAGAGCTTTCCTACAAAGCCCTGCACACCCTACTGTACTTCAGGCATTACATATTACACGCTTGATTCACTCTGACTACCTACTTTGTCCACCCTGCCCTCAAGCAGTATATACAGCCCACACTTTGGTCTCATCTCTTCACAAAGTTAGGAGGACACGACACTAATTCTTATCAAGCACAGCGCCGAAATATTGAACGGGTTCAGACGCCTCATCGAGGGTGTCGCATCCATGAATCTCAAGATGGGTGAACAGGGGCATTCCGAGAGGAGCTCGAGTTTACCGGTTTCGATTTGGCAATGTTTTCCCCTCATTTTTCATACTTTTCAAGGGTTTGATATGCTCGTACATGAGGTGAACAACAGCAGGCCTTTGAAATTTTTCTTTCCAAAAAAAGGGCGAGGAATTGCCGCAAGTCCCTTGTGTTAAAGTCTTTCTATACCAAATCCAAAACAATATCTCTACACACCCACGCATACCCCGCTTACTACAACTTGGACTTTGTTTCCTTTTCCTCGTCCTCCTCCTGCTTCAGCCGGATAAGGCCCTGTTTGTACCCAGTCAGTAAGCAAGAAAAGAAAAACACAACAACAAAAGCCACGAGGCATCGCCCGGGAGGCACGCCTTAGGGGAGGGGAGGGACTCACCTCCTGGACGCAGGTCGCCAAGAGCGTCCCGTCCGCCGAGAAGATCTTTTGCAGCACGACGCCGCGGCCTTCGCCGCTCCAGGGGCTCTCCATCTCTGTGAACATCCACTCGTCGGCGCGCAGGCGGCGCGGCTCGTGGAAGTAGATGGAGTGGTCGAGGCTGACCATCATGCCGAGGTGCGGCCGCGTCTTCCAGTACTCGATGCCGCCCGGCGCGGCGTTGCCCTCGAACTCGTTGAGGCGCTCGACCTGCTCCCGCAGCTCGGGCGGCAGGTCGGGGAACTCGTCGGGGCGGAAGGGGAAGCGCCACAGCTTGTGGATGCGGCCGACGGTGCCGATGAAGTAGCTGTCCGACATGTAGGCCAGAGCGTTCAGGTGGGCCTGGTGGCCGCCGCTGACCGAGATGCGGCCGCGCGCGCGCACCCAGTTGCGGCTCTTGATCTCGTCGAGCCTCTTGCCCTCGTCGTTGGCGCCGACCAGGGTGATGCGGTGCGTCTGGAAGGGCGAGTGCTGGTTCCACTCGGGCTCGTCGTTCCAGTCGGCCGGGGGCGGCGCCACGCCCTCGGGAAGCGGCGCCGCGTGGCGGACCTGCTTCTCGCCGCCGCTGCCCTCCTTGACGAAGGAGACGGTGGTGGTGAAGATGCACCGCCCCCGCTGGCGGGCCTGCACCGTGCGCGTCGCGAAGGAGCGCCCGTCGCGCACCCGCTCGACGTGGAACAGAATGGGGATCTCGGAGGACCCCGCGAGGAGGAAGTAGCAGTGGCACGAGTGGACGAAGAAGTCGTTGGGGACCGTCTTCTGCGCCGAGGCCAGGCACTGGGCGATGACGGCGCCGCCGAAGATGCCGCGGGCGCCCGGCGGGTGCCAGGGCTGGCGGGTGTTGGTGAATATGTCCTTGCGGAGGGGTGAGGTGTCAGTTTGCCTTCTTCCGTGGGAACGAGTGTCCGGTTGGTGAGCATGGCCATGAAGAAATGGACCAGGTCTTTGGAATTACTGGATACTACTCACCGGTCCAAGCACACCGAGCTCCGTCACCTCCAACACGTTTTCAATTGGGGCCTTGTTGGGGTCATCAGGCGGCGGCCTGATAATTGTTGATCTTCCGCTGGCCATCTTTGCTTACGGTCTCAGTTCCTCTTATCTTCAGATGAAGGGTAGCCTGTGAAATCACCGTCTCTTGTTGGGACGGTTGGGCCAGATACCCGTGTTCAGTAAAATCTGTTCTTCACAAATCCGTACTTTGACCTGTCTTGAATGATGAAGAGGACAGACGAGACGGATGACAGGAGTGAGTGAGTTGGATGAAAGCTTCAAAATATATCGACGTTGGTTTGGGAGCCCGGGAATCTGGTTGAGACGCGGCCGGATGATCCCCCCTAAATGCATCACCCATTGGTCAGTGTCCGAGCAGGGAAAGTGCCGAGGTCCAGATGTGGGGGCGCTTTTATGTCACCGAGCGTCGAGGGGAAAAAAAGAAAAAAGAAAACCCCTTCCTCACCGAGGTGCATCCGGGAACGGTGCGCGCCGCCCAACCGACGCAACGGTGGCCGGTGCACGAGGCGGACTCCACAACGCTCCCCCGAGTGCGGATGATATCACAAGCTTCTTTGACTTACCTAGGTAGGCATTCCACACACCAGGCAGTCAGTCAATCAGGTGACAGAGAAAGGTTTTCTCTTCTTTCTCTTTCCTTTTTTGTCGATATTTTGTTACTTTCTTTCTCGGCCACGGTTTTAATCCCCGAAAAAAATTATTCGCCTCAAAAGTACGCATGTCACTGAAACCCACTCAATGCATCCTTAAAGTCAATGCCATAGTATAGTGTCTCAAATCGTCCAGACCAGTATCTGTACATAGCAAGCGAGCGAACGCCTATTTCAGTATCCTCATCTATATTGCACTGTCGAACCCGGTTCCCGAGGACTCGGAGGAACTACCTCTTCCCAGCAACAGTCCACCGGATACCCTTCGGCCCCTCCGACAACCGCAGCTGCTTTCGTTGCAGCGCCGTCTTCTTCGAAACGCTCTCGGGACTGCTACTCTCTCGACTCTTTCCCGCGACGCCCACAGCGACGACCGAAGGCTCCTATTTCACGTCCTCGTAGATTGGCTCCAGGCCATCCCAGGCTTGCTGTGGGTCGCCATCGGGACCAGCCTTTTCTCTCTGCTGCCAGTACTTGCCGTTGAACTTCCAGTACGATTCGCCCGTGACCTCGCACGTCGCCTTCTCGAACCACGCCGGCCGGAACTCGAGACCCTTCTCCTCGCGCATCCGTCTCCGCGCGCGCTGCGCCTCCTCCAAGCGGTTCTTCTCCTCGGCCGCAAAGTCGTACTCGCCGTCTTCCATGGCGCGCTGGTCCGGACGGAGACGCGAGTCCGTTGGCGGCAGCCAGGGCTTGAGCTTGTCGTCGATGTGGTTGAAAGTGAGCACGAAGGGCGTGAGGTTAAAGGGGATGTTGGGCGGGCGGGGGTTGGCCTGCCAAATGAGGAATGCCTTGTTGGGGTCAGTAATGCTGCCCTTGTGGACCGACGCCGAATCGCCGGGGTCCTCGATCGTCGCCTCGTATCCGGGTGTCAGCCGAGCGTACAGCTTCGAGTTCCAGCGGCCTCCCATGCTGTACCGCACCCTGCCGTCGGCGTCGAGCACCTTGCCTGAAATCTTGTATGCGCTGGAAGCCTTCCAACCACGCGGCTGGAACTCGACCTGGCACACCTCGCCCGTCGTCCAGTTCTTGACCTCCATAGGGCCGTAGTTGTCCACCGTCGGGTTACCGGTGATGATGCCGATGACCGAGGACGTGACCTTCTTCCACGTGTAAAAGTCTTCCTTGCCTCCAGCCGTGGGTCGAAGCCGCAGGAACCAGGTACCGAGGGGGTTGATGTCGAAGGACTTGCCGTAGAACTTGGACTTGACAGCCGACTCACCCCAGTACGTCCACTTGGGAGACTCGGCCCACGCAGCACCTACGGGCGGGTGGTGACTGACCTGCTCGATGAAGAAGCGGTAGTTCTTGTCGGGCCGGACGTACTCAAAGGTTTCTCCGAGCAGGGGGTTAAAGGGCTTCGCAACACGGCCGATTGTTGACGCGTACTCACTGGCGGCAAAGGCCGCCACGTAGATGAGACGCTCAATCGAATCAGATCGCTCAGCAGCTTGGTCCAAAAGCTCGACGTATTCCATGTCCTCACCGGCGCGGTACAGAAGTGACGTGGGCTCATTGAAAGACACGGGCAGCGTCATCTTTGTCATGTCCTTGCCAATCATGGACTTGAGAATACCCTGCGCGCGCAAGTTAGTGAGCCGATGGCGAAAACTGCTATATAGTAGAGACTTACCCAGAGTGAAATCTTGGGCCGATCGTCGGCATCCATCTTGAGGCGCGTTCTAATACCGTTTTCGTAACCCTTGAAGGAACTGCTGATGTCGATATCGCCAGAGACGACCAGCTGCTGCTCATTCTTCTCGTTTTGCGGTGTGTCTGCAACATCGGATTGTGGCAGCTGGCCGACTTCGACCTCTCCGGCATCCACTGCGTCAAAGAACTCATCCTCATCTTCCGACTCAGAGTCGGACAGCTCGAGCTGATCTAGAACCGTCTGCTTCCTCGACAGGGTCCTGTTGGGCGATTTGGGCTGGGTCGCGAGGCCGTCGTCAGCTCCCACGGCAGCCTCGACGGTCTCCGTACCGTCGACCTTGTCGTCCCCGTCGGCCCTCTGGCTAGCGGCCGCCGGCGACTCGTTCATGACCTCGCGAAGTGCACGCTTGGCAGCCTTGCGCTTGGCCTCGGCCTGATCAACTCGCTCCTCCAGAATCTCTTGTTCCTTGGCGACCTTGGCCATGCTCTCTTCCCACATGCGACGCATGTCAACCTCGCGGTCCAGGCGATACTGCCAGAAGGCGTCGCGGTCCTTGGAGATGCGCATCAGATCCCCGACGAGTCCCGTCAAGCTTCTGACAGCCGCATCGTAAGTCGTGAGGGCCTGGGTAACCTTGGCGTCGGACAACATGGTGTTGGGGTTCTTGGATGCCTCGGCCAACATCGCAGCATTGACAGCAGAAATGGTGTCGAGTTGCAACTTGGCTGACTGGGCGGTAATGTTGAATGCATCCTTGGAAACGGAAGGCTCCTCGCGACTGCTGACATCCTCAAAGTCGTCATCGTCGTCGTCGTCGTCGGGGGCATGTTGGCCGTTTCTGGTAGCTCTGGATTGACCGGCGTCCGTCGCGGCGTCCGCAAACTCGTCGTCATTGCTAGCGACGGTGCTTGCACCGGCGAAGTCGCTTTTGGGAACAGACATCTTGCCTTGCGATATGGACCTGGGAACCTGCACGCTGCTCCTTCTCGTGTCGGCCACGCTAGCGCTCTCGCTGTAGGCGTCGTTGATGGACAGCTCGGGCGACTTGCCAGCCTGCTCAGCCTTGGCCTGTCTGAGAAGCTCGGCGCCACGGGCTTTCTGGCGCTCTTCTTCCTTGGCCTGGTCCTTTGTCCATTGAATCGAGTTGTTCAGGGCCCAGAACCAGCGCTTTGCCTCGACTTCGTGGTTGGCCTTGAGGGTGTACTTGACCGAGGATTTTCCGATGATCTCGAACTTTGTCTTTTCGTCGGCGCTCATGTGCAGCTTAGCAATGCGGGTGTTGATGGCTCCGCGGCAGGCGGAGCCGGCGTCGTCCTGGTGCTTGTAGTAGCTCAGGACACCGTCCTCGAGAACGAACCACCGGAGCTGGTACCCCTTACGGTAGTTCGTCCACTTCTTCAGGTAGCCCTTCATCTCTCGCGCCTCCCGTCCAGCAACGGGGTCTCCCGAGGCGGAGGCTCCGGCGCCCTGGGAAGCCGCCTGGCCGAGAACGGCCTTCTCCTGGATGCCTCTCTGAGCCGCTACGGCGGCGGGGGATCGCTTCAGCATGGCGCGTGTGACGTCGTCCTTGGTGACGTCCTGGGGAAGCTTGCCCTTGCGGTCGCGGCGGAAGGGATCGGCTCCGTGCAGAAGGAGGACCTGGATCAGCTGGGTGTTCTTCTTGCGGGCGGCCTCGTGGAGGAGAGTGCCGCCAGCCTGGATGGTGTTGGGCTCGGTCGCGAATTCGGTGCTGTTGATGTCGAGGATCTGCTTGAGGCGGGGCTCCTCCAGCACGCTCTCGAGAGCCTTGTAGTCATTCTGGGCAATCAGGCCCTGGATTTGCCTGACCTTGTTCTCGGCGAAGAGCGAGCGCGAGAGCTGCAGCAGCTGGAAGATTTCGGGGTTTCGGGCGACGTCGATGGGCAACTTGGCCTGGTGGTTGGCAACGGCGTCGTTGATGTCTTTCTGGTCAAGCAGGAGTTTGACGACCTGGGTCCGGCCCTGGATGGCGGCGACGTGCAGCGGGGTATTGCCATCCTTGTCCCTCGCGTTAATGTCGATGGTTCCGGCGCCGTCAGACAGGACGTACTCGACGACCTGATACTCGGCGCATTGTATCGCAAGGTGGAGGACGGTGGTGTCGTCGAGACCGCCGCCGCTGAGGGTGTTGATGGAGGAGATGCTCGTGCGCGGGCCGCCCTCGGCGGTGTCGCGTATCGCTTTGGAAATGGAGGCGGTGTCACCGCTGCGCAGGGCCTCGACGATGCGAAACTTGCGTACAGACTGCTCGAGGGAGACGCCCTTTTCGCTGAGTGCGGCACTGGCGGTGCTCATATTGGGTGCGGTCGCGGATGGTGGGCCGTTGTGGGAGGGGGTTCGGCCCATGGAAGGGGAGATGGAGAGCCTGTTGGCCGCGTTGCCTCGGGGAGGATTCTGAGCCATTGATATGTTGGTCTGGGATGCGACTGCGGATGGTGGCGACGTCAGCGGCGCCCCGTCATCCGAGTTGGAAGGATCTTCGTCGCCGCGGGAGTGATTTCGTCGCAGGAGGGAGAGGGCGGCAGCCGACTTTGACCGCTTATGGGTGCTGGAATCAGGAGAGGGTTAGCTTGTCTGCTGCCAAGGTCGGGTTCCAGAAGCTGCTGTCACTGTCGCTGCATGAGGGGTGGAATGCCCGCAGAGGTGGCCTCTAGCAAGAAAATGGGCCTAGAAGATGGCGATGGAGGGCCAAAGGTGAATGGGAGGGCGGCAAGCGAAGTGCACAGCAGATGGGGAAATCACGACGTACCTTTCGCCAGCGTCCGACATGTTGCAGAGCAGCAGAGAAGCCGAGCTTCAGATGGGGCAACAAGCTTTCGACGCGGGCCAGCGCAGTGGGATACCCACTTTCTCGTAAAGATGGTGCGAGTTAATATTGCGTTTTCTGGATCCTCACTCGGTAGGTAGCGTAAGCAGCGCAAAATGGCTGGAGCAATCGGCAAACAAGGGACGGACAGGTGGGCAGGTGGTTGAAGGGATGGATGGAACTGATGGATAAAGGTAGTGTAGGTGGGTGGTTTATGCTCTCGCAGGAAATATTGGCGACCGTCGCGCCCGCTGATAGGCCAAGGGAGGGATGGGGTGGAGGAAGAGGGGGGAGGGGGGGAGGGGAGCGAGAGAGGGGACAAGGAGAAGGATGAACTGATGAGGATCGTTGATGCGGGATTGTGGAATTGTGAGACGTGCTTCATTCAGCGACAACCAGAAAACAGGCAAAGGCGGGGGAAGAGAAGGAAGAAGGGCGGAGACTTGGTGAACAATCGAAGGGTAAGAGAGGGTTGAGCTGGACCATCGACACTGACTGATGCCGCGTAGGTAGAAAGACGATCTACCTAGGTGGTGATGTACCTAGGTACATACAGGAGCTAGTGGATTTGGTGGCGGTGGGTGGTGGGGTTGTGTTGTCACTGCTACTGCCGCTATCGTCGTTGTTATTGCTAGTGTACTGCTGCCGCTGCTGCTGCTGCTGCTGCTGCTGCTGCTGCTGCCAAGTTTCTGCAAAGTTGCACGAGAAAATGAAAGTGAGGGGACGAACAAAGGTAGTGGCAGTGACGCACGCGATGGGTTTGGCTATGTTGCCTTTTCAGCTGCCTGTTCCGTTCATTTCCCCCTCCCCTTCTCCCTGTTGGTTGTTGTTGCCCTTCTTTGCCTCCACTTCATGATTAAACCGCCGCTCGGGTTGGAGTGGTAGAAGACTCGAAACGTAACAGACATACCTAGCCCGTCGAATTGACCTGGGAAGCGTTTCTGGCCCTGTTCCGTCGACGACGATCCCAAGAGAGCGCCCTTCCCTGCCGTTTTCTGTTTAGTTCATCGAACACACACACGCCCGGGGCCTTGCAGTATTGTTGTGCTTTCTTTACGTAGGTACCTGGGTAACTAAACAACCACGAGTACTGTTCACTTCCTTCCTCCCTTCAGTTTCGCGAGGTCCTTGCGGCAAACCCAGCAAAGTGACGTCCCCCCGTCCTGGATTTGAGTGACGAAAACACGCGGCCCCAGCAAGTTCGACCAATTAAACCCCTCCATTTTGCTTTGTTCCACAGACACGGCATACACTACAGCAACTCTTTCCCTTCTTTGGTACGTACTTTTCTTACCTGATGAAAGGGTGGTCAGCAAGGGTACCTTGGTTACGCTATGCAAATACAGTGTTTTGGAGGTATTTCTCTATGATGGGAGGAATGACAAACACCAACCCTCCCTGCCCCTGTGGCGTTGGCTGTTGAACCCGGAACCGTCGCCGTCATCCGTCTGCATTGGGACTGGCCGAGCCGCGATCATCGACGAACTCGTCGAGTCACCGTAGCAGCAGGGGACGGTACGCCTTCCTTCGTCCGGCGAAGCTAATCTTGCATTCACCTCCAACATCTATCCGGCGTGCTTATCCAGCCGCATAATCAGCTCGCACCGGCGCTTCAATGCTTAATGCGCCCGTCGCGAACCTGAGTCCGGAACCATGACTTCCTCTCATGCGAGTGTCTCGATGCATCAAAAAGTCTCCAATCACAACACAAGACTACACACCTTACATGTTCTTGAACGAATTCCTACGCAAGTCTAGGCAAACTGCTAGGCCAACGCTTGCCATGCCATGAGGATTTGAAGAATCGAGTCTCCCACTTCTCTTTCACTATGACTAGTAGATACATAAAAGAACACAAGTCACGTTTGTACATCCCATGTAGCGAACCGAATAAATGTCGGGCCTCCCAGTAACTCGCACAACTTTTCTCAACCCCATTACAAAAGAAGAGCAGCGGCAACGGCAGCGAGTCCCGCGACACCGAAGCCACCCATCTTGCCGGCTCCGGCCTCGACTGGCTTGCTGGGGACGGGAGCCGCCGTTGTGTAGCTAGGGAATCCGCCTGTGGGGGTGGGCTTGTAGCTGGTACCTGTACCCGGAATTGTCGTGTTGTACTTGCCGACCGTGACAGGGACAGTTAGGGTGGTGTAGACCATCGTGATATCCTCCTCTTCGCCATGGCCGGCGGGGGCCGTGGTAGGCTTGGGAGGAGCCGGAGCGTCAACCGAAGGCTTGTTGCCGCTATGACTGGCCGGGGGCCTGGGAACCTCGCCAGTAGGCTTGGGTGGGCGAGGCACATCGCCAGAGGGCTTCTCATCTGCCTGGCTGACTGGGGGCTTGGAAACATCAACGGTAGGCTTGGGCGGGTGAGGCACATCGCCAGAGGGCTTAGGAGCCGAGTGAGCATCGCCCGAAGGCTTGCTGCCGGCGCCGGGGATCGTGCTGGTGTACGGGCAGACCGTGGTGTAGGCCGGCACAACCTGGGTGGTGATCTGGCCAACGGGGCAGTAGGGGACGTCAGGGGCACACGAGGTGACTATGTACGTCTTGGTCGTGTAGACAGTGCTCGTGGTCCATTGGGGAGGGGGAGGGGGAGCAGTGGTTGTGGGCACAGCAGCGGCAGACGTTGCCGTGGCGGGGCAGATCGTGGTGTACCAAGGGACGGTCTCGGTAACGACATGGCCTGTCGTGCACGGCACCTCAGGCTTGCAGGAGGTGACAGTGGTGACCCTGGTGGTGTAGACGGTGCTGGTGACCAGCTCCTCGGAGGAAGTGAGAGTGCTCTTGGCAGACTCTGTGACGGAGGCGGAGCCAGTGGCAGAGTCGGTAAAGGAAACAGTAGCGGAGCCAGTAGGGGAGCCGGTGGCAGGGCCGGTAGCAGAGCCAGTGGCAGAGCCGCTACCAGTGGCGGTGGCGGAGTCGGAAGTCGTCTTGGTGACATCGGCAGAGCCGGTAGCGCTATTAGGGGCAGTGGCAGAGTGTGAGTTGCTCAGAGTCGTGGTTGGGAAGTCCTCATCGTCCTCCTCGCACGTGTCAGAGGCAGTGGCCGACTTGGTTGCGGAGGCGCTCGCGCTGGTACTGCTGCTCGGCGAAGTGATGATATCGGAGTGGGTGGCCGGGCCGGAGGCAGACGCGGAGGCAGACGCAGACACGGCAGCGGAGCCGGTGGCTGAGCCACTGGCAGACGCAGAGATAGGCGCAGAGATAGACGCAGAGATAGACGCAGATCCAGACGCCGAGGCTAAGCCGGATGCCGACGCGGTGGTAGCGGGGGTACTAGCGGAAGCGGAGTCGGATACGTAATGGGAGGCAGAAGCCGGTGTAGAAGCAGAGGCAGAAGCGGAAGCGGAAGCGGAAGCGGAAGCGGTGGTCGAGGCCGATACAGTGACAGTGGCAGAGGCCGACGCAGACGCAGACGCGGAGTGGCTGGAGCTAAGGGAATCGGAGCTCGAGCTGGAGCTTGCTGAAGATGTGGTGGAGATGGCGACAGACGAGGTGGTGGAAAACACGGCAGTCGAGGTGGCGCTCGAAGATGTGGTGGAAATAACGACAGACGAGGTGGAGGTTGAGGAGACGAGAGACGTCGAGGTCGAGGTCGAGGTCGAGGCAATGGTGGTGGACGTCTTGGGGGGGATCGGGTCGCAGCCGTACTGGAGAGCATCGGCGATGGCCTCGTGGAAGGCCTGGCCGTTGACCTGGTTCATGACGCCGCGGGTGGCGTCCCAGATAGAGACACCTCCAAAATGCGGCTTGCTCTTGTAGTTGCAGATCAGCTCCTTGATCCTGGAGGGAGGAGCATAGCCGTTCCAGCCCGCATCAGGGTGGGCGAGAACACCGAGGTAGAGCTTGGCATCCTTGCTCTTGGACGTCTGCGAGATAACGGTCTCCCAATCGTCGTAGTTGGGGCTGTCGGAGGCCTGGCAGCCGGGGTTGTTGTAGAACTGGATAAAGAGGGAGTCGAATTGGGCGTTGTAGATGAGCTCCTTGAGCTGGAACCAAGTGTCGGAAGTCGGGCACTGAGGGGCAGCAGAGATGTGGTAGATACCGACGCTGCGGAGCTTCTCAACCATCTTGATCCAGGGTTTCTGGTTGGCTTTTTGCTGTTTTAGCCTCTCGACGTCGCAAAAGGAGAGGCAAGGGGCGGAACCTACGGTACTTGAACTCGAGATCAAAGTCGAAGCCATCAACGGAGACGTGCTCGGTGCTGCTGATATCGAAGGGACGGGGGCCGGTCCAGTTCGGGTCATGAGGACCGAAAGTCTTGTGCAGAAGCTCGGCGAACTGTTGGCCCTGTTCGTCGTTATCGATGTCATAGCTGCATGGACCTTCAGCCGGGCACCAGCCACCAATGGCCAGGAGGACCTTGATGCCCTTGGCCTGGCAGTGCTTGATGTCCTGCTTGATGTAGTCGCAGTTCGTGATCAACTTGGTGTCCTCGCCCGTCTTTGGGTTCTTGTAAAAGACCTCGCCGCCGCAGTGGCCAGCGAAGTTGGTACCAGGATATCCACCGCTGTTCTTGGGAGAGTATGTGACGAAGGACACAGATACGAAGGTGACCCCAGGGGCGTCACAATAGCTGGATAGCCGGTCAGAAGGGTCGCCATACTGTCCCCAGTAGAGATTGAGGCCCCCGAAGGTCGTAGGAGCCTTGGTCTGGGGCTGCGATGAGAAGTGAGCGACGGCCGGGCCGATGGCCGCGGCGATGGCAAGGAAAGACTTGTTGAAGAGCATATTTACGGTTATTGGGGATTAGGGAATTAAGAGAGTATACGTGATGAGTGATTTTGCAACGATTGTGAGGTGGCCGAGGCCTTTGGAAAGAGTGTGATGGTGATCCAAGATCAACGAAAGGGCGCAAACAAGATGTTTGCACGACTGAGGACACTCGCCGTCGTCTCTGGCTTCTTGACAGGAACAGAGATGAGGAGCGGTGAAGAAGAAGCAAGAAGAAGAAAGAGAGAAAAGATCGAGCAGCGGCGGGAGATGGCTCTCCATACATGATGGAGCCGCTGCCTCTTGACGAAGGAGGTGCATAGCGACGGAGTGACTAACTCCATCGGGGCGCCGAGCAAAGGAATATTACCTCAAGGCGGCGGCAGCGCATCGTGGGTGTGTGTAAACCATGGTGGCGGCGCAGGAGATTAATCTCTCCTGATGTAGGCTACCTCGTGCTTGAGAGGTTCAGCATGGTAGACGGCGTAGGTAGGTGAGCAAGGCAACGATGCCGCCCTGCGGCGCAGTCTAAGCGGGAAATTTAGTGTGGGTGTGCGTGTGTTCATGCCGTGGGCGACGATGGCGTCGTGATGAGTGGAGTCGAAGTGAGCTGACGGAGGATGAGACGAAAGGTGGGCGGTTGTGGGCACATGGAAGCACCCCCCCTGCCCCCTTCCCAAACGGGCAAACGCCTCTTGAGTGGGTAAAGGCCTAGGCTGTTAGGTAGACAGGAACAGGAATAGCGCCTTCCGGCCGATGTAAGCGACGGCACAATAGAGGGGGTCACTTGGCTCCTCTGACTGGTCGGGTCTCCTGAATTAGGTAGCTAGGAGGTGACATCTGGCAGGAACAGCGATTTGAAAACCCGGCTCTCCAGCTTAGCTGCGTTGCTCAAGTCGATCTCCAGTTCCTCGTACGACGACATCTGCATAGCGAGGAGTCGAGCAATCTCTGTGGTGAACACGACCTGTGGAGCGTTCGGCGTGTCCGGTCGGGGGGTGTTGACGTTCAGAGTCTTGAATCCTAGCTGCTTGATGTTCTTGGGATCATGGAAGAACTCGTGTGCAGCTGCCCAGGCACGCTTCGGATTATCTTGGATGCTGTCATACTCGTCGATAGCAAGAAGTATGTAACTAGTGAGCGCGATCTGGCCCGATGGCATAGAGAAGCCAAACTAGACGTGAGCGGTATCTTGTTCGATGTTCTTGCGCCAGGCATCGAGAAGAGTCTTGAGATGGGTTGTGTTCTTTTTCACCGGAGACGCGCCAACGCATCGCATCCAGACATCGGCCATTTTGACGTTGACAACGAGACGCATCGAGCTGCAGAAAGAGACGTCCTGCACACCGGGGAACAAACGGGCTCTCTGCTCGTCAGCGTTGGAAGCGTGGTCCTCGATACGGGGACGCTCGATGAACGCAGTGATTGGAATGGTGATCAGGTACGCCACATTAGTAGAAGTCCTGTGTTTGAAGACGTGCCTAATGCGAATAGACATTGGAAGCGTGTTGGATTGGACGATGGAGATGTAGGTCGCAACTAAAGGATCGAAGTGATAGCCCATTGTAGTGAGGATATTGTGTGGATAGCCAGCGACTTGATCGTTCACGTCGACAACACAAGGAGTCTTGAGGGATTCAAGCATCGAAGGTCTGGTATGAGGCACGAATACCTGTTGACCATTGATGAGGACAGTTGTGCCGGTACGACGAACGTCAGCCGCTTTGTAATTGGTCGGATCACGAGTCATCTCGATAGGATTGTCAAGCGGCAACTCCTCTAGGGTTCGTGGGTCGACGGTGCCGCCGTACGTATCCTCGTCGTTGGGGAGCGGCCGAAGAGGAGATGGACGGAAGCTCGGATGAAATGAATAGCGCGGAATGAAGTTGTTGGATGTAATGGTGAGAGGGAGAAAGTGTGTCAAGGTGGGAATGATGAAGAACTTGACGCGTTGAAGGAAGAAGTTTTGTGGCGGATTGTGAGAAGGAAAGATGAGAAGGTGGGCAGGTGACCTATTGTTTATTTGGGAGAGGCTCGCGTCGTGGAAGGAGCAGAGGGAAAGACCAAGAAAAATTTGGCCGGGGGCGTTTGAGAAAGAGGTAGGTGAAAAATGCCAGCAGGAAGGAAGGAAGGAGCAAGAAGGGGATGGGGAGGTTTGTTGTTGGATATTGAACGCCTGAATCGACTTCGGACAGGGAATTAGCCTGACCTCACCCTTTTGATCCAGGTGGATTGGGCCTGTTCTACTAATGTAGAATGAAATGCGACAGCCCTTTCCCTGCTAGCACATCATTGTGTGTTAACGTTGGCTCACATCGCCGGTGGGTTTGTGTTGTGCTGTTGGCGTGTAGACTGGTGCCTGAGACGATCGAGTAGGGCGGGGAGCATAACTTGTTGTCGTCCTTGCGGCCAGTGATCCAATGGCCGTTAGCAGGGAGGCCATTCAAATCAGCGCAGGTCGCACTTACAGTTTCCTGGAGCTCCTAGGCACCGCGACTAATGTGACCGATATTGTCATTGATCGTGGCTATGGAATTGCTGATCATGAGCATGGAGTCGTTCATCTTGGCGAAGGAGTTGTTTGTGTTGGCCATGAACGTGTCAACCTTGGCCAGCATGTTGAAGCCATAGTCGACCTGTTGTTCTTGACTCATTCGGCGAAAGTTCTGGGCTTCTTCTGAGGCGTCGCCAGGGTTGGTGGGATTACTGGAAGACATTTTCAGATGGTGCCGTGACGAATGGTACGGTGATGAATACTGCTGTAATGAATACTGCTGTAATGAATACTGCTGTAATGAATACTGCAGTGATGAATGGTGTGGATGGTGTTTTGATGGATTGCGTAGGGTCAAAATTGAGAGTGACAAGAAATCGTGGGGATGTGGATGGAGTTGGGAAAAAGAGGTGGGTGGGAGCAGTGGGAGAGAGCGTATATATATGAGCATGGAGACAGGTCGGAGAAAGGTCTTGAGGGTAAGGAGAGGCAGGAAGACATCTCTGACTTCGCAGGTACCTTGGGTACCTAGTTGCCTAGGCAGTCGGCATAGGCAAGAGCCGCAACGGTTGTTCAAATATGGAGTGGCCTGCGGAAGGAGAAAGTCTCATCACCGACCTCCTAGGTACCTGGACAGACAGTCGACGCACGGCAAGTGCTGCTCTAGAGAATGAGTCAGTCCGTCGATTCCTGCTCATAGACCAAATTGCTCTTGTACCTATCTAGGTGTATGTGGTTTCCGTTTCAGAAGGAATGCGGTCTACTTGAAAGACGTATACTGGAAGAAGTCGTTAGTCACTCGCTGAGATCTGGAAACAATTGCTGTAATGACTTGCGTTGGTATCTTGATTGGCATGTGTAAAAGTGTAGACAGGACTCAACAAACCCTTCACGAAGTGGTCTTTAGGATCGCAGAGCAGGTTCCTTTGGCATTGAGTTATGATGAAATAGGTAATTGTTGTGGTTGACTGCTGACGTGTTTGGGGGGTGTCCGCTGGAGTCGAATATCCAGCGTGGCAGAGAAAAAGATGGACGAGGAAGTTTTGAGGAAAGGCAAAAATCGTGAATTTGCGGCTGACCTCCCTAATTACCCGAAATCTGGCGGATCTCATTCGACGGGCGTGGTTGCTGGGCGTAAGAGCGGTATGGACGGCTTCGATTAGGATCGAGGTCGAATTGATTTCGAGACGTGCCAGTGACTCGGAAACATCGATCGACTCGTTAAACGAAGAGAAGTTGGGATACCATAGCGGATGCCAAATTTCGAAAAAGAAAAAGATAAGAAAGGGAAAATGGAAAGAAGAGGAGATTTGCTGCCCAAAAGCCAAACAACAGCCAGCAGAGGCCGAGTAGTTAGATGAGGGTTGCAAGTCAGAGTGTTGGCATAGGGGGACTACGATGGGAGGAGGTGAGTCACGTGACCTATCGCCCCCCGGCAGCTGCCCCGCTAAACCGATGGTCAACATCGCAACACCCACCTACTGGAGTCAGGTGTACTGCTTGTGAAACTGACAGAGAGAAATGTTTAAACGTCGTGTTCAAGTAGGAACACACGATTGGCGCTCCTTCCCCCACCATACCTGCCTTGAATGACTATAGCTCTGCTGAAAGGGGTTTTCCCCCCTTTCTCTTTCTTTTACCGAGGGACCAGTAGAAGAAGAATAGAGTTCGGGCTCCTTTTCCTTGATTCCTTACCCACGGGTCGTTATTTCTAGTCTTCGTGTGTCCAATTTCGCCCAAACACCACGCTTTCCCGGAATCAATGGACTAAACAAGCAACACATACATATATACCCTGCATCACTCCAAAAAAAAAAAAATCTATTCTGTTACATCAAGGCCATACCATGCCGTCATCTTGATCTTCTTCGTCATCATGATCGGCCATCCTCTCTGCTTCCGCCCCGACCGGCCCTATATCTTTCCATCGGAACAGGTTATGGTCCCAGCCCCACTCGATGCGGAAGTCCACGCCGCGAGCGTCGAGGTACCACGCCACCAGGCACTCGATCGAGCACGGCGCAGGCCTCGGGCAGTCACTCGCCAGCGGGCTCCGCGGCATCTCCTCGCATCCGGAGAAGTCCCGTAGCGCCAGCCCGGAAGGGCTCCCGGCGAGGGCGACCATTTGATGGAACCTGTCGTACATGTACAGCCAGTGGGACATGGCAGTCGCGCTGCCGTAGGCGATTTGATCGGTCGGTCCTGTTTTGGGTATGCCGGTGAGCCTTCGTTCCTCTCTCTCTCTCTCTGCATGTGTGTGTGAAGCAAAGTAGGAACCTGTTCAGGGTGGCATCAGATCACTTACCAACACCGATCCGCCCGCGCATCCGGGCGCAGTAAAAGTAGTGTTCCCCGTGCGGGTGCGGCAGAACGAGCATGTTTTGCCCCAGCTCTTCCACGGTCTTGAATTCGGGCTCCGCCTTGAGCAGCGTGTCAGGCCGGAGACGCAGGACTGTATCATGAATGAACCCGTTGGCGATGCTCCAAGCCCACCACCGCTCTGCCGCGAGCGCTACCGTCTTCAACTGGTTGTTGAGCCTCCGCAACCTTTTGCCACACCTCGCCGCTTTCATTTCCTTGTCTCCGCCGGGATAGTCCTCTTCGTGCTGAGCCACGGGAAAGACGTCCACGGTCCGCAGGTGCGAGCCGTAACACTCCCGCAGCTCCGCCCGGATGGACTCCTCGGATCGCTTGTGTATGTTGATATCGGCGGGCTCGAAGAGCACGTAGGCGAAGACATCGATTCTCGTGAAGGACGGGTGCTTGGCGATGAGTTTTTCCATGTGCGTCTTGCAGCTCCTATGGTTTGTCCTGTAGAGCCCTGCAACGATGACGGCCAAGGTGCGCTCCTTTTCACGCTCCCTCTCCGAGACGTAGAGGTCGCACGCTCCGGCGATGGAGAGCTTTCCTTGGTCCGAGAGCTCGAGCTGCCCGGGTGTCATCTCCAACAGCCCTGTCGAATGCAGCTGGTCGTCGCTCGAGCTGCGCCCCAAGATTGTTTCCTTTTGTACCTGGCACCCTGGCTCCAGGTCACTGTGCCACACCATCGTCCATGCGTTCTTCAAGAAGGCGTTGACGACGAGACGGAAGTGGTCCTTCTGCTTCTCGACGATGAGCATACGCCCGCCGCTGTGCTTATCGCCCGTCCCAGTCCACCACACGGGATGGGCGGCCCCGTCCGCGTCCATGCGGTTGAGAACGAGATCTCCGTCGTCTTGCAGGACGAGGGAGTGCCGTCCGCTTGGAGAATTGAAGAATGGCATGGCCGCGGATAGCAAAACACCCTCCGTATCGGGTGATAAAACGGCGGTTCGGGGTCTGGATCCATCGATACCGACGCTGGCTTCGGTTGAATGCTCAGTTTCGGGCTGGGGACTTGTTGGAGGGTTATCCGTTGGCCCTGACGCCGGTCGGTGGTGTAAGTCGGGCATGCGCAGCCCAGAGCCGGTGAAATGCCAGTCCGGATTCAAAATGATAGCCCATGATGCGAGAAAGAGAATCAAGGCGCCAACAATGACCTTGGGCCTGCGACAGGCGCCGCCGCCTATTCGCACCCACCAAGGTTGGTTCGTGACCATGTCGGGGCGATGAGTCGGACCCATGGTCCTCTGATGTTGGCTTGCTCTCTCTATCTCTCTCTCCCTCTATCTACCTCTTTGTCTCTTTCTTTTCTTCTTTTGCTCCCTGTTCTTCCCGTCAATAGGGTGAAGAGATGCGTTGCGTTGGTAGGGTGAGCGAAATTGAGATTTCAGAAAACCTGTCGATGACGGATTCTCTGCTACGAGTACAGACAACCAAGAGCCGTTGACGGCTTCTCACCAGGGAAAGTGAGCAACCGCCCCGCGCTATGTCAGATGACGCTCAAACACTCCAACGGCGGTTGAGCTCAGACCCCCCTCCTCTTTAGCAGCAGCGCGAACAATCAGCCACTTATGTCGTCGGTGTAGGGCGAGTTTGGGCGAGTCCGCGGGGAAGGTTCGCGTGGATCTGAGATTATACTTTGCGTCCTGTTGCATCGATTCGTAAGCTCGACCGCCAAGGTAGTATATCTCTCAAAGCCGTGATAGAGGGAAGAGTATCGATCATCCAATCCTTTGGACCGGACTGTCCGGCGGTTGCGTTCAGAATTGTGCAAAAACAGGCACTGGAACTTGGCCTCCTGATGTTCCTCTTATATTTTCCCAACGATTCAAAGTATGGATGGTAGGGTTTGGAGCGCTAGATGGTCAAACTATATGACGAACCCAGACGAGGGGGGAACGAAGGTTGCCGGAGTGTTTGAGAAGAGATAAGGTCAGCGACAGCAATTAAACCCGACCAAAGCAAGGGGCAAGCGCATTCTAGTGAAATGACTTCATGCAACCACGATATAAGACCTGTGTTTTCGTATCGCTGTATGACCTGTGCAACACCTCGGCTACGGACCTCAGTGTTGGTACAAGACATGTACAGCTCGAGATGAGGAAGAGCGGTACAGACAGGGGGAGGCTCTGATGCCCTGCGCTTTCCCACGATCGAAGATCAAACGCAGAGCGACATGTTAGAAGACTAGAGATGTGAAAATTGCGAAGCCTGGCGCTCTTCCGAGATGTCATTACGCCAGGGCTTTGAATGTGCTGACAAAATTACGATGGTAGACCAACAGGGTGACAAAACAAATGCCTATACAGGAGCCAGAAAGCTCCTCGCCAAGGACGCACGCTTGTTTACGCTAGGTAGTAGTATAATTTCTTTTCTCTGCCTCCCTTTGTAGGATGGAGTTATGAGTAAACCTTAGTGAGACTAGTTTGCTTCTTTGTACGTCTGACACGTCCCTAGGGCACCAAAACGGGGGTGGGGGGGCTCTGAAGTTGAAAAGCGCGTCGCGTGGGAGCCGAGCCATTCTTCCAAAGGGTAGGAAACAAAGACGACGGGCGTTGTCAAGACGATTGTGCATCTTCAGGTGGTGAGGGATGAGGGCGACGGACACGGGCCCAGGCTCCTCCTGCGGCCCGTAGGTGGGGTCCGGCGGGATGTCACCCACCTCTCTCCCCGCCAGCATCTAGGACTACGCTGGCGGCTAACGGCAGCCTCGGGCGGAGTTTGGCGAGCGCATGTTAACGAGAAATACGCAAAGGGGCGTAGACAGAGACCAACCAGGGGGTTCAGCCTGAGGCATCGCTCTTGTCGTAAACATCTGCAACGTGGTGCGCCTGCTGCCTCACTGGCTGGCTGGCTGGTCGG